TATACGAATATCAATTATATGCTTACGAGACATGTTGCAATGTTAAACTTATTACGGTATGTGAAAATTAAGACTTGCATAAAAAATATCACAATATTAGAGACAGTGGCGTCATTTTTCCTCAGAGCTTTCAGCTCTTTGATTAGTAATTATTATTGCCTAAATTCAGTCATCTGTACATAATTAAATGTTTCCTTATGTTCTAAGGTGTATATAGTTGCTAAAAATCATACCCTATGGGTAGTGCTCCACAATTAATGGAGGAATATACAAGAAACTGAACTGAACTGCTCCCAGAACTGATATGCTTAGGGACTGGTCATTTTCTTTCATTGGGAGGGGATCGACTGGGAGGAAACATTTGAAGTTTTCTTATTTTTTTTCTAAGTCCCCACCTTGAAGAAGGAAAATATGTCACAAGTTCCTGAGACATGAACATTTCAACCCCTCCCCCAACACGTACGTTTAATAACTTTATTCTTTTCAACAAAAATACACGATTACAATGTCTATTTATGTGATTATCATTCAATAAAATAGTGCATCAGTAGTGAAATATTGCTTCAAGTGTGGAAGATGTTTGTGACTACTGGCACAGACATATAAAATTAATACAATTATATGTCTCTGCTACTGGGAACTTTATTTATATATAGATACCTGTTTTGATATTATTGACTTCATTCAATTTCAGCACGCTATTCATATATCCTTTATTAAAGAAGTTAGTAATTTAAAATCAGCTTCAGAAAAAAATACTTTCCTGGAACAACTTGTTGAAATTTAAAATTTTTATCTGAAAAATTGAGTCGAGCGGAGCGAGGCGAAAAAGAATTATGTCTTTCCTGCCACTTTTTTTTATTGTAAGCGGAAGCTTTGGTTGTGGGTCGCCTGTCTCCATATCTCCAGGTCATACATGAAAACTATTCACATTAAGACATAAAAAATGCCACATTTGACTCCTAGATCAGTATCATCTTGAACCATTGAAACATATGCTCGATCATGAGTTTTACAATTGATCATGTCAGGAAACAACTATTAATTTGAAGTATTAAATAATTGGATACCCCCTTTTCAATCACAAAATTTTCCAGACACCCCCTTAATTTCTCCCTCACCTTCAGGTTTCAAATGACCAGACCCTTATTTCTTTTTTTTTTGTTATTGTCGTGCCTAATTAAAGTTAAGGTTGGAATCAGTTTTGATATTTGAGAGTAAGGGAACGACCATTTAATTTCAAGGGAGGGGGTGGGGTATGTTTTTTTCCTAAAAAAATAATCTGATCCCCAATTTGATGGAAAAAAAATATTATGGTCAAGGTGATGACAAAATAAGTATTTTGACTCCGAATTTTCCCCATACCTTATAGCATTAAATTTTGAAAAAAATAATTTGATCGATAGCGTCGAAAAACAAAAGAAAAAAAAATTCTGACTCGGACAAAAAAACCCTCCCCCCTCCCCCTATGAAGGTAAATGGTTGCTCCCTAAGTAATTTGACATTTGAAATTGGTTGCTCTATCGACCGACTATTATGGAATGATTATTATATGACACATTGCATGGACACACAATGCGGATAATTTTATTGCCAAATTTCTTTTTTGTTGTACATTTGCTCAAAAGCAATTGGTCACCCTCAACAGTAAGTGTATGTTTTATAAATCCGTGTATACGGCTGTAATTTTGTTAATTCGTTTTTATCGGGACTAACACTGATAAATTTCAACATCTATGTTTAACTGTAGCCTAAATATTTTTAAGTACGTGTACGTGGTCAGTATGTTTACAGCCCTTCATGTGTCAGCAGTAAGTAAGATAGCAGTATGGTATTTCAAATGCAGTTGACACAAGGGAATGATACAGTAAGGATAAAACAAATTGTTTAAGCTTTAAGGTTACGATTCATTTTACGTATATTAGTAGTGAATAGAGTACAGTATCATATAAACCAATGTTATTGTAATATCGTATGTACATTATAGAGCAAGCAAACATTAAATATGTGAAAACAATTTATAATATTGAAGAATATTTACCCCCCCCCCCCCCAAAAAAAAAAAAAAATAAACACCAAAACATATAAAGGAAGTTTTTTTAGAAGTCTTATTTAAAGTCTGTACACGTAAATAAAAAAAAATCCTGTAGAGATACACATACTCACAATACAATACGGTACATATACAATAGTGTTATAATAATATAATAATGCAAGCATGAATAGTACAGTATAGCAGCTATTAGTAAAGCATCTAGTTAAAATCATAATTACCATTAAAAGCATACAGACAATTCAGAAAATGACAATATGAGAAGAAATATTCGTGCCGGTAGCATAGTTCACGGCAGACTAAATTTATATTTTAATAAGATTGTAAACAATGCTTGAATGTGCTGAGTTTTCAAGAGAAAACCAATGACCTCAGCTTGCCGACTTTTCATTTATATTTATATAAGACAGACTTCAAAACATGCTTAGTCTTAGGAAGCAGAAAAGAAAGGAAGCTGGCCTTATCCTTTAACTTCACTTTTCCCCATCTTGGTATTATTTCCACTGAACAACTCAAAGTTTGGTGACAATGTTTAGTGCACCTGGCCCATGAACTTGTAATAGACGACAGCAGATACAGTAGAGTCTAGCTAGCTGGTGCCTCATATGGCTTTACTTTAATCTTAAAACTGACAATGAGGGGCTATCGAGAAATAAACTTTTCGGCAAAATAGAAGATTTCAATTTCCCGGCAACATCATGGCTTATAGAGTATTTATCTCACGAATACAATGTTGTACCATCGATATTACATGGCTTGCGTTTATTATCATGATTTCCCGTATTTGGTCCCCTCTTTAAAGGAAGCTATTGAACCAAGGGTTCCAAGTAGTAAGGTTGAAGTAATTTCTGCGCAAGTTTTGCGGACGCTGTTATGATATAAACCACGATGAATCGCCTTTGTCAAACAAATATGTCTCGGTCTGACTTGTTTCACGCAACCACAATCCCGTCTTTTTTTCCTTTATTTTTGGCATTGCTCAATTCGATTAATTATCGGAATTTGACTTGCAGGAACAGCATGACGGGTGCCACATGTGGAGTAGGAACTGCTTATCATTCCGGAGCTGATGAAGGCCGCCTCCGGTGCGGGATTTTCTCGCTGTTTTCTGTTCTTTGGTCGGGTTGTTGTCTCTTTGACACATTCCCCATTTCCATTCTCAATCTTATTTAAATTCTTAATCTGAACTTTTGGCAGCAGTTGGTGACTTTATAAAGCAATCTTCAGAGTTGCAAAAATGTAGTCCATGTTCATAAAAGTTATATTAACATTTCTATGTTTTTGTTTTATGTTTAAACTTGTCATCTTGACTGTTGTGTTAATTTTGTGTCATAATTTGTGGTTTTTGTTTTGCTTGATCCATATGGATGTGATTTTCAAATAAAAATATGATTATAATCTCTCTAATGTAAAACGGCATCTGCCTTATTAGGTTAGCTTTATTTTAATTTTCACTTGACTTTATAAACATCATTTTTCATCCTTAGTTTATATGCACTATATGAGAACAAGGGGTGACGCACACATACTTCGATGAAGTCAAAAACAAGGCAACCTGACAACAAATTAAAAAAAAATCAAAAAAGACCTCAAGAGTTCATAAAAGTCATGTTAATTCAGTGAAATTTCCATATCACATGTAAAGCTTTATCCAGTATATCAAGATGTAATGGTAACAAAATTAACTTTCTGTCATCATAATCCGGAACACAGTCACAAGGCTGAGCCTCTCTCGAATGACGGAAAACTAGTTATGTAAAGAGCGATTTTGGTTCTGCTGTATGGAATGTCGTATTTTTTAGCAGTCATGCACGTCAGGCCAAAAAAGAGATGCTAAAAGCTATTTTATCTGTAAACCATTTAAAAGAACACTTTACAACAACTCTTTATTGTTTATTAATAACTTTTGTTGATCGTTGAACTCACTATCTCTTATATGTATATCCAAACTATTATTATCGTCATATTAAACTTAAATTTTGTCTTTTGATTAATTTTGTAGATGGGTTGCTGTCTTATATACGGATACCTGACATCCTCTTTTAATCGTATGAAAATATGTTATGGTAAATTTTGTCGATGGATTGCTGTCTCATTTACGTATACTTGACATCTTCTTTTATACCCGACATCTTCTTTTATTCACATTGAGCTGTATTTTTTTTTTGTCGATTGGTTACTGTCTCGTGCATATACATATACCCCACAATTTCTTTTCTTTCATATTGAAATGTCTTGATCCATTTTGTCAATGGGTGTTATATCATATACGTATATATAAACATTTTCATATTGAAATGTCTTTAGGGTAGATATGTTGATGGATTGCAGTTTTATATACTCATACACCGCATCTTCTTTTATTTATATTGATATGTGTTTGGATTTTTTTTGTCGATGAGTTGTTGTCTCATATACCTATATCTGACATTTTCTTTTATTTATATATTCCCGATCTTTTTTTATGTTCATATTAAGCTGTCTTTTGGTTATTAATGTCGATATGTGGTTGACTCATATACGTGTGTATACCCGCCATTTTTTAAAAATTCATATTGGAATGTCTTTTGGTTAGTTTTGTTGATTGGTTTTTACCTCATATACATGCACATATCCCTGTGATCTTCTTTTATTTATCTTGAACTGTCTTTTGGTAATTTTTTTCGATGGGTTGTTGCCTCATTGACGAATACCCGATATCTTCTTTTATTTATATTGAACAGTTATTTTGGTTACTTATGTCGATATGTTGATGTCTCTTTGACTTATATCCAATAAATTTGGCTATTCATTTTTAACAGCTTTGTTTGGGAACTTATGTCGATAGGCTGGTGTCTCATTGACGTAAATCCCACATCTTTGGTTATTCATAGTACACATAATGAGATTACAATGTTCTTAGAAATAACACAAATTCTTTATACGAGATACAAGAAGAATAATTGGATGCTATTTTTATAGTTTTATTTAAATATGAACAGAAAAATCTATGCTTTCTTTTCTTCCACTTCCCACACCTAGTTATCTGATTCGAGTATGCCATCTGTCAATGTATCAAACAAAAGTAAAAATATTCGTTTAGATTTATAAATGTCATATTTCTATATTGAAAACTTTGGTGTTTCTTTGCATTCACAATGGTTATTATATGCTTTCTTTTTATGATATTTTTACGTCTTTTAACCTACAATCTACTTTATTATAAAAGAGAGGCAAAAGATACCAAAGGGACATTCAAACTCATAAGTCGAAAATAAACTGACAACGCCATGGCAAATTTATTAATCGAACCAAGTGTGGGATCAAAGACATCTTTTTTTTATATACTTAAACGCATTAAAAAAATTTCCATATATGGGAGTGAACATATACATCAAAAAGAAATATAAGCATATAATTGTTCCGATAAACATATAACATAGCTTTGAACAAAATCAGATCACAACGAATAATTTATTTGAAAGCTGAATACAAGAAATATCAAACATCACTGTTTATTGAGGGGCCTGATGAGTTATTTTCGTTCTTCGTGATCGGCGCATTTTCGCTATCGTGATCCGTTTTTCTACAGATTTAGTTTTTTTTATATTTTCGTGATCTGTGATGATGGAAATTTATTTTCTGTGAATCGTGATTGACAAAAAAATCAACTCGTGAATCGTGATGAGACCCCCCTATCAGGCCCCTCTTTATTATTTAACTTCATACAACCACGCTTCTTTGGCTTGATTTGCAACTAACAATGTATTGGTGGGTTGATCATAGTGCAAAACCTGTGGTAATTCAAGTCCATCTTCACGTGATAATATTTGTCTATAGCGTTGTCCATTAGGAGATATGACGACCACATTCTGAGTAGCGAATCCCACTACAAACACGTTACCATCATTGTCTACAGAGATACCATATGGACTAATCAGAACACTTGTATTACAGAACGTCCACAGTATGTTACCATGGTGATCACAACAGGTTACACTGTTATTGGCACATTCTGTGTAGAACAGTTTTTTACCGGATGTTGTAACGTACGCTAAGTTTGATATTTTGCTATTGGTAACATTGGTAATGGATTCATCACTTAAACTAACCATCTGTAGTCCTTTTTCCCCGGCACAGTAAATCAAATATCCATCTTTGTATACTACTCCAGCATTGTTTGAATTAACTTTAATTGTTTTCTTCACTTTTCTTTTCTTTAGGTCGATTATATTAATCTTATCTGAATCGCCAGATGTAACAGCAATATAATTATCACCAATAAATACCACATCAAACGTGTTACCAAATTTGTTTATTGCAAAATCTATTGAACCGTCCGATTGGAGTACTATAACATTGTGTTTAAAATAACAGGTGAACACCATCCTACCATCAGGTAGCATAGAACAACCACGGACGGCTGTCAACTTGGTAATGATGCGTTTCTGTAACGTCAGAGTCAGGTTTTCGATTTGTCTGGTTGGAAGAGCTACATGTACAATAATCTGGGCTTGTTTGTGCTTCCGTTTCTGAATGGAAAAATCGCATTGGTCAGAAGTGACATTGATATATCCAAAGTTCTGCAAGCTGGTTGTGACTTGCTGTAAAGACTGGTTTATTTGAAATGAAATATTTATTTGATTCGCGGTGTCATTTTTGGCGAGCGATTGAATAAATTTTTCTTCGGCTGGAATGTCTTTTTCGATATGTTTCATCACCAAATATGTTTGAAGTTTGGACGCATGTTGTTTAATATTTGCAATATTTGCTTGGTATTCTGTGATCTCTTTTTCCTTCGTGCTGAGGGAAACCAACAACTTTTGTATTTTACTTTTTTCTGTTTCTTCCACTGCAATTAATTCTTTCATCAGATCATCCTGAAGTTTATCACGATGACGATTTACCTTGATCCTAGTTTGTTTTATTTCTGCTTCAATTTCATTTTTCTTGTCTTCTAACGATGTTAAATTTTCTTTTCGGTTAGTACTCAGTCGTTTAATATTGTCGACAATTTCCAGCAGGGTTTGTTCGATTTCATAAAAGGCATTTGAAGTTTTGACGTTTTTTATGAGTTCATTAATGTCGGTTAGACCTTTACAATCGTTGTGAGATTTCAAACATTTCTTACAGCATAGACAATCGTGTCTGCTACAGAAAAGCTCGTATTTCTCATTATGTATTTTGCAAACCGTTGCATTATGCAGGACTTCGGTCGGTAACTTCTTGTATTCGGCAATGGAAACGGTTTCGTGGTCTTTTGTTCCCTTGGAAATACTGTGATGTTCCTTACAATCTCCGCATAGTCCTTCATCACATTCAGAACACCAGACTAATGATGATTTGGTTAGTTGACGATTATCACAAACACCACAAATACTCCAATTACTGGCCATGATTCTGCAACATATATGAAAAAGGTTTTTGAAGTACATGTATGAGTACATTATTTATTCTAAAAGTTAACTATCCTAGATCAGTAATAATATTTATCTTTACCTTGCCGTTGGGCTAACGTCCAGTTGCAAATATTTCATTTTATAAAATCAATAATTGTTGTCTATTTGTTGAACACAATGCCCTGCACGCACAACCACATATCCATGTGGACCATGAAATTGGAATCAAAAAGGAATTGTGTTATATTATAATTTAAATAGGGTTGTTTGCACCTGTCCTAAGTCAGGAACCTGGTGTTCAGTGGTTGTCGTTTGCTGATGTGGTTCATAAGCGTTACTCGTTTCTCGTTTTTCATATAGATTAGACCGTTAGTTTTCCTGTTTGAATGGTTTTACACTAGTCATTTTTGTGGCCCTTTATAGCTTGCTGTTCCGTGTGAGCCAAGGATCCGTGTTGAAGGCCGTACTTTGACCTATAATGGTTTACGTTTACAAATTGTGACTTGGATGGAGAGTTGTCTCATTGGCACTCATACCACATCTTCTTATATCTATATACATCAAAATGAAGATGTGTACTAACTTTCTTTATTGTTTATGTTAGAGCACTTTTATAGGAAACTGTGGTGTGCCACGAAGGGGGCCTTTCATTGTAACTAACTATACAGAATGCGGTTTGCTTTTAGGTGATGGCTGTACGGTAAACTATACCAAAGGAAAAACAAAAATCATAACTTTAAAAAAAAAACATTTCAATATCCAAAAGATTAAGACAAATACCGGGTCTAGATCTGAGGCGCTCTGCATGGAATTGATGGAGGATACATGTGTACTGAAGCATATCTACAAATCAATGGAAGCCAAGAAAACCTTAACGAAAAGTTTGCTTGCACAATTAGTAATGTAAAATTTCAAACAATCGGCAAACAGAAAAATTGCATGGCAGATGTAAAAATTGCTTGCACGATACAACTCAACATTATCAAGCTCCGGAGATATTAAATCATTCTCTAGAATAGAAGCCAAGAAAAGCTTGACGAAAATAGTCCTTGTTTAACGAGCGTTTTTAAATTTCAAGCTTTTGGTAAACAGGAAGTGGCTGCATGGCTGATGTAAAAATTGCTTACTCGGTACAACTAAACAGTATCAAGCACCAAAATACAATCATCCCCTCCCATAGAAGCTAAGAAAAGCTTGACGAAAGTTTTCTATCGACGGACGGATGGGTGGAGAGGAGCGGTTACTAGACCTGCATTCGCCGTTGGCGACGGAGGTAAAAAAACCAAAAAGACAAACAACAGTCTACAAAAAATACAAAACACAGAAAATAAGGACTGATTAATACGAACCCCATCAAAGAGCGGGGTGATCTCAGAGGGGAGCAGACCCGACTCCACTAATTTAGTAAAATAATAAAATCTAAAAGCTTTTCATATCGACTCAACTCCAAATTTATCTTAATCAACAAAACTTTTTCGTGATTGTGCAAGTAGTTTACTAATACCAATTTACTTTTAGATTTCAGCTATGCTTGTTTAGTTCGCTCTTAGAATTAGTATATCATTTGCCTTAGTGTAGAGTCGCAAATTCACAGGATCCAGACTGAAGCTAACCACACGGTTAAAACCAAAATGTTCGTCTACTCTTAAGAATGTTTTGGTTCAGTTCAACCGAAGTGATCCAATCTTTTGGGAGTTATTTCCCTTTAAAAATTTAACATATGTGATATGATGAATTAATTCATACACCATAAGTCATAGAGGCCTAAAGTCTTTTGATTTGAAGTCCTTGGTCCATTTGGAGGAATTTGAGGTCAAGGTCAAAGGTCAAGGTCATGTTCTTTATTTTGAATTTTGCATGTTATCTTTATTCCATAGAAACCGTAAGTGTTAAAGATAAGATGAGTTAGCCAAATAATTGTTTACGACATGGAGCAACTTCAACACATTTAAGTCAAAGTGATACGGTGACCGCTTATAGGAGTTTTCTCCCCTTCTATATTTGAAATCAGTAGAACTCCTCAACCATACAAGTGAAAGACCTGGGGTCTTTCGATATGAGATAATTGACCCATGACCTTGAAATTGAGCCCAAGGTTAAAGGTCAATTTGACATTCTAGATTTTTTACCTTTGCTAAAAATTTAGACTGGTTCATTATAAAACAAGCAGGTATTTTGCATGAGGTTGGTAGACATATGACCTTCAGAAAGGTCAACCGGAAATGACATTATTTTAACCGGAAGTAGTCTTTTTCACACTAATTTAATGAAAAAGTACCTAGAAACCTTATATTTTTAGAATCAGTTTTAAAGTCATCAGTCATATGAACACGAAGTGACATCGTTTTGCATTTTTATTATTGAAAGTTGAGGCGGAAAGACCTTCAATTGGTTTTTAATTTTCTTACTGATTTTAAAATCATTATTTTACGGATATAAAAGTAACATTTTTCTTAAACTTTGTTCAAAATCTCGCAGACAATGTTTTATAGAATTAGCTTGTTGCTGTTTTTTTTAAACACTGCAACAACTCAAAAGAGTCAACTTTAAATTAAGCGATAATGTATTAATAAAAAAAATTATATTAATTCTTACCCATTTGAAAACAACCACTTTACCTTAAGACTATGACGTGAACAGCAGATTAATAAAGACGAAATAGTCAGCGCGCGTTCATTCTTATTTTATTTCATCACATAGCTTTCACATGAAATAAACCAGCAATAAAAAAAGATACAACGGTTGTTTATTTAGCCAATATTTGAATTTTACATTGAACAAAATTAATCATGCGATAAGGTGGGTTTCTGTTCATTATTTTGAGGTCGTAAAGTAAATAAGTGGCAAGTGAAAAAGACAGAATGTGTCTTCGTATTAAACCATTGATTGCAACATTTTACGGCTGGACGGAAGAAATCCGTGGTGCTATAGACTTAAAAGTTTTGTTTTTGTCTAATTAATGTCTTTGATTTCATTCGTCCTTTCCTTATTCTCCTATTAAGTGGAGACGCATAATACGCAAATGTATTGTTTTGTCATAGTAATAAATTACTTTGCGCATCATGGGCCCTTTAATTGGAAAACTAATATCTTCTGTAGATATGAGATATGAGATAATCATGATAATAGACTTCAAAAAGAAAGTGGATCAAAAGAAAAAGAAGTGTAAAATGATACACTGTAATAATTCAGTTAAGTATAAATCTATGAAACTGATTTCATAAACATAAGACAAGGAAGGCAATCATATTGAAAACCATTGTTAAATTTAGTCAAATACTCAACATGCTCAAACACATCTAGCAGATTATATTGTTCAAAAAAGCGTAAACAAATGAAACTATAATGATACTTAAGATTAAGTATGTTTTATGTGTTAATGAGTGGGACGGGTGTGAATTGTGACTGTATTATACCGAGAATAAATGAAACAAAATACGTACCTTATTAGGCCTTATAAATAAAACATTTCTTTTGGGAACGAATGTACATGGTCACATAATTTAAATACTTTAAGTCAGGGGAGATAATTCTTCTCATCATTAAGCAGACTTTAAATTTCATTTATACAGTGCACACACACATACCTGATTAGGTTATTTTCCTTCATAAATTTCATTTTGGTTCATGATTTGAAAAGGAATATGTAACCTGGTTCGTTGACGGTATAAAAGAAATTCGATTATAGTTGACAGAAGTTTATTCGAAACGGCATAAGTAAATAATCCCGAAAGTACACAAATAACAACATATAAATACATAGATCATACGGTGTAACGGAAAGCACATGTCTTGAATATGATCAAATCGCATTAAAGTTATATTTAGAATGTTTAAACCCAACTTAACTCTTCATATGATCAAGTCAGAATTAAATGTTACATTATATTTAATAATATTACGCTAATCACTCATCGATTTATGAATGAAATATATCTATTACTATATGATATTGACATGTAAGTATCGACCTACTGGTAACTTCTTCGAACAAGGCACATACAATAAAAATACTGAATTGAAATTAGATAGACAAACAACAGTCGATACAGTAAACTAAAAATACACTGAAAAAATCGATCTTATCGATCATGTATATATTACAAAGGTCTATTTCATAATAGATATTTACAATAAGTGTATGATTCTGACTCGACTCCGAGTAAGAATAAGAATAAGACTAGACAAAGCGGGAGTGATCACAAAATAATTAGACATTTGCTTTTTTTTATTCCTTATAATATGATTTTTTGAATTGTCAGCTTTTGAGCAATAGTACAACCGACTTCAACTTGCTTTAAGTTCTGACATGATATCACCAAAGTGTTCCTAAAACTTTATTATATTTAAGTGCGTATTCAATAACGGCTTTGTATTCCATTATTAGTCTAACGAGTTTCCTTCTATCTCTCTTTTGGGCTATTTATTGTCTGTTACATGTATAAGACGTCATAACTCGATTACGGTTTGGGTTATTCTATAATTGAGTAAATATATATTTTGATCGAGGGAGGAAGGGTTTGAGTAATCACTCTATTTCTTCACCTTCTACTCCTGGAAACTATGATGAGTTTATTTAAACCATATGCATTTATCTCGACCTTTTTGTTTTTAATCAAAGTATGTATTATGCTGTTTATCATATGAGTTCGACCTTTCGACAGTTTCGGAGACGACACTCCGTAAGAATTGAATTCCAATGTCCCATTTGTGTATTTTACTGAGAAACATCTCTTGGGAGAACTTGTTTTTATTTCTTTGCCTTTGTAATTTCCAGCTGTTTAAATAGAAATACAAAGCAAGAAAAACCTGCCTAAAAATCTGCATTAGAAGTGGAAGTATAAGATATTTTTTAATCGCAAATTTATATTTTATTTTGTACGCCTCAGTTAACAACAGCCACTTTTAAAGACAAAAACATGGAATAATGTTTAATACAGACACTACTGTTAGCTCTTGTTTGTTCTTCATCTATTTCATCACATAGCTCTAACATGAAATAAACCTTACATGATTTCTTAATTTGCATTTTGCTTTGAACAATACGATTGATGCGAGTACTTGGGGTTTTGTCTACAATAAATAGTCGTTTTGAGCTCGTAATGTAAACGTACAGCCCGTCAACAAGCTTGAACGATTCCGTTTTTTTTGTGATAATGAAGATTAGACGCATTTGCATACCAGAAGATTGCTCTTGCTTTTGACAATGTCAAACAAGTAAAAGCACAACTAGAATAGGCCAGACTGTTCGATAATAGATTGCTTGTTGCTTGTTTAACTCAAGTAGCAAATAATTTAATTATTTTATAGAAGAAAACAAATAATAATAATAATGTTTAAGGTATCTCTGCAAGGTAGGCACATCGAGACATAGGGTTGGGCATTTGGTTTGATACTGGTAACAAGTGTATATAAGCTTGATATGGCCAGAATTTAGCCATGTAACAGGGTTCATAGACATGTGCATGTACAGTATGGACATGCACTCTCCCTACACGATGCAACACATTTAACATTTCACTTCCGACTTGACGTGGGTGCGTATTTAAACATCGCGCATAGCTAACCTAACGACCCGTTATTGCAATGTGTTGTTGTCGGATGGGAAAAGCCGACTATAGTAAAGACTGTAGGTTGTGTGCTAGGCTTGAAAAGGTTCTTTTTGTCTAATTATAGTCATTTAATTTCAATCCTCATTCACTGAATGGTCTATTTGTTGGAAAAGCAAAACAAGAAAACAAAGACTTTTTCTCTATAACATTCCCAGCTTCGGGGGTCTAAGTGATACCAAGACCCCAGTCTGAGTACCGGCCTACTGTCACACTCACATGGCTAAACGGCCATGGTTTTTACTTTTGTCTATGAGTTGTTGTTCCATTAATAAGCATCCGGTAGACTTAGATCAAGAAGGTGTGCAGAAGATATCAAAGGAATTGTCAAACTCATAAGTAGAAAACGAACTGGCAATGACATGGCAAAAGCCAAAAACGACAATAAGACAAACAGCAATCTGCAAAACACAACATAGAAAATTAAAGAATGAGCAACACCAACCCCAACAAAATTTTAGGCTGATCTTAGGAACTCCTGAAGGGTAAGCAGATCCATGGTGAGTTGGGGGCGAGGGGTCTCTTCCTTGTTTTATCAATTGGTGCAATTTCACCGTAGTTATATAACAAGGGGTTGAGATTTATATTTCAATAGGTCAAAAATGTTCATCTTCAGCTAAGGTGCCTGCAAAATTGTATACTGATCTTTTAAAGTAATTAATATGAATGATCACATGTGGTTAAAATGTCATGTACAGATTGTATGGCTAGCTGATAGCTGGGTAATATATTGATTGGTTATGATTTTCCCATGAAATATATGAATGGGTTATGATTTTCACATGAAATATATGAATTGGTTATGATTTTACCATAAAATATATGAACGGGTTATGATTTTCCTTTGAAGTATATGAATGAGTCGAGATTGTTGCCAAACTCAATATCTTATTGGGAGTGTTTTTTAACAAAACTTCTAATTTCATTAATGAATAGAAATCATTCATGAAGTTGAAGGGGAACAAATGTAAAACAAGGAAGGCAGTCGGGTTAAAAAACCCTTGGTAAAACATGTAAAAATAGTTAAATGTTCAACATGCTCAACCATATCACGTGGACGATATTGTGTAACACGAAAGTTGATAAAAAGAAAAAAAACATAACAAAAATAAACTACATAATTAAGTAAAATTAAGTATTTTAAATATGTTTATGAGTGGAATGAGTGTGAATTGTGTCTGTATGATACGGAAACCCAGAAAACAAATAACGTAACGTATTAGGCCTTATCAATAGGAAATTTCTTTGGAAAAAAGGTGAATGGTCACATGATTTAAATATTTCAAGTCAGTGGACTTAATTCTTTGCATGATAATTGAAAGAGATACTATTTTGACTTTAAATCTTATATACTAGTATATAGTGTACACAATATAATTGAGAATGGAAATGGGGAATGTGTCAAAGAGAACAACCGGACCAAAGAGCAGCCCAAGGCCACCAATGGGTCTTAAATACAGCGAGAAAATCCCGCACCCGGGGGTGGGCTTCAGCTGGCCCCTAAGTAAAAATGTGTACTAGTTCAGTGAAAATGGACGTCACACTAAACTCCGAAACATATAAATGAACTAAGATTAAAAAAAAACATATATGACTAACAAAGTCCAGAGGCTCCTTTCTTGGGACAGGCGCAAAAATGCGGCGGGATTAAACATGTTTTGTGAGATCTCAACCCATCCCCTATACCTCTAGCCAATGTAGAATAAACAAACACACGACAATACGCACAGTAAAACTCAGCTTAAAAGAAGTCCGAGTCCGATTTCAGATTAGGTAACAGAAGAAACTAAGCAAAATGACAATGATACTTAAATTAACAAAGTACTACTAGCAGTCACTGATATGCCAGCTCCAGATCGATCTCAATTAAACTGATTGAAAGATTATGTTTTCATCATATGAAAATCAAGCACAATCCCTCCCGTTAGGAATTTAGTATTATACCATCATAAAATATATAAAAAGAACATAACCCGTATCATACCAACAAATGGTTTTAGAATAAATGTGTTTATTTCCGATGCAAAGACCCTATAAGTGAATCAATATTAATTCCAAAATATGCCATCTTTAATGACCTGACAACGGTATCGTAACTATATCCCTTCTGAATAAGTCTTTTTAAAGGTTTGGTCAGCTTTTGAGGTGAATGACGACATTTTTGTGCTTTGTACAGAATATTACCATAATAGATTGGATGAGAAATACCTGAACGTATAAGATGTTTGCATGTTGATTTATATTTACGAATGATGTCCTTGTACTGATGATAACATTTAGTAAATGTTTTGACAAGTTTTTGATATCGAAAACCCTTGTGTAACAATTTTTCAGTAATGCAGAGATTTCTTTCGTTAAAATCAAATACGTTGTTACATACACGAGCGAATCGAACAAGTTGAGATGTATAAACACCATACGATGGTGACAAGGGAACGTCACCATTTAAAATGGATAATTAACAATAGTAAATGAAAAATCATCTTTTTTTATCGTAAATTTTGGTATTAAGCTTCCCGTTTAAGATATAGATATCACGATCCAGGAAAGGGCAGTGTTCATTGTTAATATTAGCTTTAGATAAAGTCAGTTCAGCAGGATAAATCTCTTTAGTGTACATACTGAAGTCGTCATTATTGAGAGCCAAAATATCATTCAAATATCTAAAAGTGTTATTAAATTTTTGTATCAGATGTTGTTTCGATGGGTTGTTGCTGATTTTAGTCATAAATTGTAGCTCATAACAATACAGAAACAGGTCCGCAATAAGTGGTGCACAGTTAGTTCCCATTGGAATTCCGATAACTTGACGATATACGGAATCTCCATAGCGAACAAAATGTCATCTAGTAAAAATGCAAGTGCAGTTATCGTATCAAAGCTTGGTTGTTGTTAGGAGTAAAATGTTCTTTAAAATATTAAATACGAATATCAACTATGTTCATTACTGAATTAAATAAAAAGAATCTAAAGATTTTTTGTGAGCTTTTTCTCGTTTTATCCATTCCGTGCAGTACGTGCGGAGTGAATCGTGGATGATGTTACGACACTCATTCCAATTAATAATTGACGGGGGCGATATTTAGGTTCTTTACTGAGGAATGATTTCAACTCTCGGTCATGAACCACACACAACAGTTGATTGATTTGGTTTATTTTCATGGTTTTTCTAAATTTTTATATTGTTATATATAGAATAAGTGAGTAATTATTTGCTGCTTTTATTTAAGTGTGTGTACCTCTATCATGTAATAACGTTAATCAACCAACAATCAATTTTGTCATGTTATACATAATTCATGTTGATTAAGATTTGAAAAGGAATATGTAACTGGGTTCGTTGACGGTATAAAAATAATTTCTTTTATAGTTTACAGATGTTTATTAACATAAATACATAGCCATAAGGTACACAAATAACAACACATAAATACATTGTCATTTGATGATGTGGTTCATAAGTGTTTCTCGTTTCTCGTTTTTTATATAGATTAGACCGTTGGTTTTCCCGTTTGAATGGTTTTACACTAGTCATTTTGGGGCCTTTTATAGCTTGCTGTTCGGTGTGAGCCAAGGCTCCGTGTTGAAGACCGTACTTTTACCTATAATGGTTTACTTTTACAAACTGAGACTTGGATGGAAAGTTGTCTCATTGGCACTCATACCACATCTTCTTATATCTATAGACCATACGGTGTAAATCATTAAAGTTATATTTGAAATGCTTAAATCCAATTATACTCAATCATATACCAAGTCAGGTTAAAATGCTACATTTTGTTTAGTAATGTTACGCTAGTCCCTCATAGAATTATGAATGAAATATTCCTATTACTATTTAATGTTGACATTTAATTATCGACATACTACTTTAACAAGACACAAACAAAACACATACTGAACACAAATTTAATATACAAACAGAGTCAATATAGTAAACTAAAATACATTGAACATACTGATCTTACCATGTATATAGTACAAATTTAAAGTAATTCCTCATTGCGTTTTACAATATGTGTATGACTCCAAATTGACTCCGAGTAGGTATAATAAAATGACTGGTAAAATGCGAGAGTGATATCAAAATAATAAAACGTTATAAAAAATATTTTTTTACATTTTTCATTATAACATTATTAATGAAATTGTCCGCTTTTAAGCAAAAATTCAAACTTCAACTGATTTTAAATCCTGACATGCATGCCCCCAAAGTGTTCCGAAAACTTTATAATATCCATGTTCGCTCAATACATATTTAATGTTCAACAACGACTTTGTATTCCATTATTAGTTTGTGAAGCTTCCTGCTCTCTTTCATTTTATCTATTGTCCGGTATAAGGTGTCACAACTGGATAATCATGCTAATGGTTTTGATTTTTTTTTTATACTCGAGTAAATATATATATTGATCGAGGAAGGAAGGTTTTGAATAATCACAAAATTCATTCCATGTCTAACCATATGCACTTAACCAGATCTCCTTGTTTTTTTTTTTATCAAAGTATGTTTTACTTTGTTCATACTTCTTTGTGTTATTATTAAGTATTTATTGAATAAATAAGAAGGAATTGCTAAAGGTTCAACCAATCGTGAATAACAATATTTGAACCATTTTACGGCAATGTAATATCAACTGAAGTATTTATTTTGAAACCCCAGGTAACCTCCCATCACCTTTATCCCAATCACCTTCACCCTACCACGCAAACACTCCTGATGCCTTCCAATTGTCCATCTCATTATTTGCTGGTAATTTTTTGGTTTTTTATTCCCCTTAAATCATTTCGTTTCAAGCACCGCGTGATCTTTTTCATTTCTTTGCTTCATACTTCTTTTGTATCATTTGCTGCTTAGTGTTAGCTTCTCTTGTGGAATTGTTCGACAATAAGACACTAGATACGAATGCTCATATTGGACATAACATGATTTTTAAATAAAACATTTAAGAAGGCTACAGCGTACTGATTGGCGGAAATTTCATACCATTCGTAGACTTATCTATTTGAATACGATGTCGCATGTCGCGTCTTCTTTTTGTTTAATTGTTGCATTTCCCAATTCGACTAATAATCAAAATCTGACTTTCATGAACAAAACGAATGGGGCCACATGTTAAGCAGGAACTGCTTACCGTTCCAGTTTGGGTTTCAGTTTGGAGTTTTGTTTTTGTTATTAACTTGATATGTTACGTCGTTTTTGTTTTAGGCCATGGTAATGTCTGTTTTAACAAAATTATGTTTTGTCAATGTTCCCTCAGTGGTAAATTCTCTCTCTTTTTAATAAACGAACTTCGCATGCCAAATAATACCGACAAGCCGATTAGAATTATCTCTATTTATGTTACCTTTAATGGGACTCGACCCTTGCATTATGCTTAACATTAAACATTACTTGGAGGTATAAACATGCATTTTTCAACCTCAATTTATATTCAACACATTAGTACAAATACGCAGATATACGTCGATGAAGTCAATATCAAGGCAACCTGACAAAAAAGTCAAACCAACACTTCACAAGTTATTTTAGAGACATTTCATATGTACAGTTATATCCTAAGTCCAGTATTTACAGATGTAATTGGTAACAACATAAATTTTCTGTCATCAATTACAAGAACCCATTTACCAAAGGCTGGACTTCCCTCCATCGACGTGGTGGTGATTCTGTTGTACGGAATGCCGTATTATTTGGCAGCCTGTACGTTAGTTCGAAATGGGGATGCTAAATTCGATGCTTCGTGTAGACTAGCTACGCTCTTCGTTAACCAATTATTAAGAACACCTTCAATGACTTTTTACTATACATATATTAATTCTGTTGATGTCCCACAGAGGTAATACCAACATCTTCTATTATTCATATTTTACCATTTGTCTTTTGATAGATTTTGTTTAAAGGTTGCCTTCTTACATACGCACACCTGACACCCTCTTTTATTTATATTGAAATGTTTTGTCTTTAATTTTTTCGATGGGTTGCGGTCTGATATACGTATTCCTGATATCTTCTTTTATTCAAAGTGAACTGTATTATTGGTTTATTTTGTCGAAAGATCACTGTCTCATATTCGTATAATCGTCCTCTTACTTAATGAATATACATGTAGAGCTGTTATTCATTTATTTTGTCAACGGGTCGTTTTCTAGTAAACGTATAACCCACATCAACTTTAACATGTTTAATTATAATAGAATCGTTTTATGGTTAATTTTGTCGATTGGTTGCTGTCTCACATACGTATATCCCACATATATTGTTCATATTGAGCTGTCTTTTGAAATATTTTGTCGATGGATTGCTGTCTCATAAACTGTATTATATCAAGTTAAGAATTGGAGCTATAAGATTTTGAGTTTGAGCCCATAAACTTGAAATAGAAAATGGACGTTACTTTAGCATAAAACTAGAAAATAGAATATGCAAACTCTGTAATGAGGAAATAAAAGATGAGATGCATTTTATTTAACATGTTAAGCTTTGTATATTGTTTCTATATATAAAACAATATGCGTTACTTTGCATTCACAATAGTTTGTTATTATACACTGTATACCAAAAATATTTTTTATGACTTTTAACCTTTATTTTACTTTATTATAAGTTGACCGAATTTATTCCTCAAAGAGAGGCGAAAGGCACCAAAGAGACATCCAAACTCATAAGTCGAAAATAAACTGTCAACACAAGAAAAAGACCAACAGACAAACAACAGTACACAGACCACAGCATAGAAAACTAAAGACTGAGCAACACAAACCTCACCAAAAACTGGGGGTGATCTCAGGTGCTCCGGAAGGGTAATCAGATCCTGCTAGACATCTACCATCCGTCGTGTTGCTAATGTAAGTACAAACCCGGTCATATGTCTCATTCGGTTTTGATATTCAAACAAAGCGTGTGATTCAAAGTAATCTTCCTTTTTTTATTTCATTTCACTCAAACGCCATTAGATATTGTCCATCAAAGAAACCTAGGATTGAATATTTGCACTAGAAAGAAATATAATCATATAATGGTCCCAATTAACATATAAAAATCACTTTGAACAAAATCAGATTACACCAAATACTTTATTTGAAAACCGATTACCGGAAATACTTATCATTTAACTTCATACAACCACGCGCCATTATTTTCATTAGCAACTAACAATGTATTGGTAGATTTGTCATATTGTAGAACCTGTGGGAATCGAAGTCCATCTTCACGTGATAAAATTTGTCTATAGCGTTGTCCATCCGGGGATATGACGACCAGATTGTGAGAATGGTATCCCATTACAAACACGTTACCATCATTGTCTACAGAGATACCAAATGGAGCAGTCAGAACACTTGTATTACAGAAAGTCCACAGTATGTTACCATGGTAATCACAACAGGTCACACTGTCATTGTCAATGTTTGTGTAGAGCAGTTTGTCGCCGAATGTTGTAACGTACGCAAAGTTTGATATTTTGTTATTAGTAACATTGGTAATGGATTCATCACTTAAACTAATCATCTGTAGTCCTTTCTTCCTGGCACAATATATCAAATGTCCATCTTTGTATACTAATCCATCATTCTTAGAATGAACTTTTATTGTTTTTCTCAATTTTTTCTTCTTTAGGTCAATTATATTTATCTTATCTGAGCCACCAGATGTAACAGCAATAGCATCATCACCAATAAATGCAACATCAAACGTGTTACCTATTTTGTTTTTTTCGAAATCTTTTGATCCGTCCGATTTGAGTACTATTACTTTGTGTTGGTCATCACAGGAGAATACCATCCTACCATCAGGTAGCAGAGAACAACCACGGACGTTTGACAGCTCCGTATTGATGCGTTTTTGTAATGTCAGAGTGAGGTTATCGATTTTTCTGTTCGGAAGAGCTATAATCTGGGCTTGTTTGTCCTTCCATTTCTGTATGGACAAATCGCTTTGGTCAGAACTGACATTGATATCTCCAAACTTCTGCACGGTGGTTGTAATTTGCTGTAAAGACTTGTTTATTTGGAACGAAATATTGATTTGATTCGTGGAGTCACTTTTGGCTAGCGATTGAATAATTTTTTCTTCGGCTGGAATATCTTGTTCGATACGTTTCATCACCAAATATGTTTGAAGTTTGGACGCATATTGCTTTATATTAGCAACAATTGCTATGTATTCTGTGATCTCCTTTTCCTTCGTCCTGAGAGAAGTCAACAACTTTTGTATTTTACTTCTTTCTTTTTGTTCAACTGCCATTAATTCATTCATCAAATCATCCTGAAGTTTATCAAGATGTCTATTTACCGTGATCCTGGTTTGTTTGATTTCTGCTTCAATTTCACTTTTCTTATTCTCTAGCGATGTTAGATTTTCTTTTCGGTTAGTACTGATTCGTTTAATATTCTCGACAATTTCAAGCAGGGTTTGTTCGACTTCATAAATGGCATTTGAAGTTTTGACGTTTTTTATAAGTTCTTTAATGGCGGTTAAACCTTTGCAATCGTTGTGAGATTTCAAACATTTCTTACAGCATGGATAATCGTGTCTGCTACAGAAAAGCTCGTACTTCTCATTATGTATTTTGCACACCGTGGCAGTTTGCAAAACTTCGGTCGGTAACTTCTTGTATTCGGCAATGGAAACGGTTTCGTGGTCTTTTGTTCCCTTGGAAATACTGTGATGTTCCTTACAATCTTCACATAGCCCTTCATCACATTCAGAACACCAGACTAATGATGATTTGGTTAATTGACGATTATCACAAACACCACAAAGACTCCAATTACTGGCCATGATTCTGTGCAATATATTAAAAGTTTTTGAAGTATATGTATGAGTACATTATGTATTCTAAAAGGTAACTATCCTGGATTAATAATTATATTTTTCTTTACCTTACCGTTAAGCTAACGTACAGTTGCAAATATTTCATGTATAAAACCAATAATTTCTGTCTATTTATTGAACCCAATGTCCGCTAGCACGATCACGCCATGAAATTGGAATCAAAAAGGTATTGTGTCATATAATAATTTAAATAGGGTACATCGCAATGAACATTTGTACTAAGTTTCTTTATTGTTTATGTTAGAGCACATTTACAGCGATTCAACAGGAAACTGTGTTATGTCATGTACGGCTTTCATTATAGCTGAATATACAGAATGCGGTTTGTTTTTTTTTTGGTGATGGCCGCACGATAAACTATACCGAAGGCAGCAAAGGAAAAACAAAAATCATAAGAATAAAAAAAAAGAAATTTCAAAAGCCAAAAGATTCAGACTATTACCAGGTCTAGACCTGCGTCGGTCTGCATGCAATTGATGGAGGTTACATGTATACTAAAGCACAACTGCAAATCTTTTGAAGCCAAGAAAATTTGATGAAAAGTTTGCTTGCACTATGAGTGTTGCACAATTTCAAGTAATCGGCAAACAGAAACGTTGCATGGCAGATGTACAAAATGCTTACACGATACAACTTAACATTATCAAGCTCCGGACGAAATATTTAATCATTCTCTTCCATAGAAGCCATGTAAAGATTGACGAAAATAGTCCTTGTACAACGAGCGTAGTTAAATTTCAAGCTATCGATAAACAGGAAGTGGCTGCATGGCTGATGTAAAAACTGCTTACTCGGTACAACTAAACAGTAGCAGTTCCATAGAAGCGAAGAAATGCTTAACAAAAGTTTTTTGCCGACGGAAGGACGGATGGAGATGAGCGGTTACTAGACCTGCATTCGCCGTTGGCGACGGAGGTAAAAAAAAAAGAAAAAAGACAAACAACAGTCTCAAAAATACATTACACAGATAACAATGACTGAGCAATACGAACGCTACCAAAGAGCGGGGTGATCTCAAGGGTAAGCAGACCCGACTCCACTAATTTAGGAAAATAATATAGTCAAAAAGCTTTTAATATCGACTCAACTTCAATTTTATATTAATCAACAAATCTTTTTCGTGATCATGCAAGTAATATACTAATATCAATTTACTTTTTTCAGTTATGCTTGTACAGTTAGCTCTAAGAAATAGTATATTGTTTGCCTTAGTATAGAATCGCAAATTCACGGGACCCAGAATGAAGCTAACCACACAGTTAAAACCTTCCACCTTCCACCTTCAAGCTACAATCTTAAGAACTTATTATTTACCGCAGAGTTTTTTCGCTTCTTCACTATAGGTATTTACTGTAACTCGTATATATATATATAATAGTACAGCAAGCATCATTATATACCAGGGGCGTAGGATCCGAAAATTAATAAAAGCAATTTGACCACCTTCTGGTAAATAAAACAAATCTGAAGATAGCAAATGAAAGAGTATACTGACTAACTTCTAAATTATTTCACTATAGAAAACGTTTTTGTCTTGGTTTTTTTCCTTGTTACTTTCAGTAGTCCCCCACACTTTTCCAATCTGCTCTTACGCCACTGTATACAATTCATTTGTCTGCGAAAAATCTAAATATGAGTAATAAAGTGTTTATATACTGTGCTTTTTAATCGATTTTTAAATGAGGTTCTGGATGAGGTGGTCTTTATTTTCGTATTCTTTTTAAACTATTTTCTTAATTCTTTATCTATTATTTATCATTCTATATTCTTTATTTGTATTTTCCCATTTTCTTTATTATTTTCTGTTAATCTCAATTCTGTAAACCCCATCCAGACCCTTTTAAATGTCCCAGAACCGGGCGTCTACGTGCCTATAAATAGCAAAAAGGAAATTTAGTTTCCGGTACTAAGAATGACAAAAACGTACATGTTAGTCACGTAATTAACTTACAATGTGTTTATATGTTTTGCTGCTTAACCCATAACTCTATATTAAGGCACTGACCATCTGTGTATTACGTGTGTTGTAGGAGAGGGAGGCGATTGTATTTTTAATAAACCTGATTTTGATTCTGAATTTTTTGAAATAAAATTATGTGTTGTTTCAAAATTGAAATAAAAAAAAATTTGTGACAAATGAAAACATTGAAGTTTTCCTGTATGCAATCAAAACAATTGTCTTTTTTTTATTTAGGTTGAAAAACAACCAACAAAACACCTAATCCATATAAAAAACCTCAAAACCATTCAGACCAAATTTCAACTTCTAATGAAGCAGATACTTCATTTCCTTTAGAATGGTACCAACATCTTGATTTTCCTTCGTTGTACATGTTGTCGAATAATCTTAGCAAATTTTGGTTGAACTCTATCGAACCGATTTAAGGAGAAACGGATTGACACAGTGTTTACTGTGACGCGGATGACGATGTCAATGCGAGACGACAGGGTTATTCCTACGTACATTTGTATATTGCAACATCACAGGACACTGTCAGGATATACAAGGTCTACTGTGACACGGATGACGATGACAATGCAAGAAGACAGGGTTATTCCTGCGTAAATTGCTGCACCACAGGACACTGTGAGGAGATACAAGGGGCTCCAAAAGGATACCTTTAATAAATTTCAGTTCACCAGGTCGCTTTTAAGCAAACTTTACAGTTCTAAACTGATTAGATTCTCGGTTCTCGGTTTTGAACGTTTTTAAAAGGTCACAGGTCCGGACCTTTTGCAGGTCCTTTTAAGCAAGGCCGCCCGCCAACACACCCCTTCCGTAAAAAAAAAAGGTCGCAGGTAGGATTTGACCATGTGGTCGTGGTTCAGGATTGATAGGAAACAAAAATATCTGATAAAAACATCGAAGGCAAACGATTTGGCCCTACGAAGGCTTATATATAGGACTAACATACATTAAGCCAAACAGTATGTGAATAAGGTTGAAATCAGCAATTCTGACATTTAAGCCCATTAAAAACCAATCATTCTTATATAAGGAACATTTATAATCAATTACACATGCACTTATCTTAAACGTATAAATATGCATGTATTGACGTACCGTACCATATTTCAAGGTGACTCAGTATATATAATAAAATTGAGAATGGAAATGGGGAATGTGTCAAAGAGACAACAACCCGACCAAAGAGAAGAAAACAGCCCAAGTCCACCAATGGGTCATCAACACAGCGAGAAAATCCCGCAACCGGAGGTGGGCTTCAGCTGGCCCCTAAACACAAATGTGTACTAGTTCAGTGAAAATGGACGTCACACTAAACTCCAAAACATATAGATGAACTAAAATTAAAAAAAAAAAATACAAGACTAACAAAGGTCAGAGGCTCCTTTCTTGGGACAGGAGAAAAAATGCAGCGGGGTTAAACATGTTAAGTGAGATCTCAACCCTCCCCCTATACCTCTAGCCAATGTAGAATAAACAAACACACAGCAAAATGCACAGTAAAACTCAGTTTAAGAGAAGTCCGAGTCCGAGTCAGAATAGGTCATAGAAGAAACTATACAACTAAACTAAACTAAGCAAAATAACAATGATACATAAATTAACAAAGGACTACTAGCAGTTACTGACATGCCAGTTCCAGACATCAATTAAACTGATTGAAAGATTATGTCTTCATCATATAAAAAATCAAGCACTACACCTCCCGTTAGGGGTTTAGTATCATACCATCATAAAATACATGAGAAGAACATAACCCGTGTCATGTCTACAACTGGTTTTAGAATAAATGTGTTTATTTCCGATGCAAAGACCCTACGAGTGAATCAATATTAATTCCAAAATATGCTATCTTTCATGACTTGACAACAGTATCGTAACTATATCCCTTCTTAATAAGTCTGTTTAAAGATTTGCTTAGCTTTTTTAGGAGAATGACGACATGTTTGTCCTTTGTATAGAATATTACCACAAAAGATTGGATGTCAAATACCTGAACGTATAAGATGTCTGCATGTTGATTTATATTTACGAGTGATGTCCTTGTACCGATGATAAAATTTAGTAAATGTTTTGACTAGTTTGTGATATCGAAAACCCTAGTGTAATAATTTTTCAGTAATACAGAGAATTATTTCGTTAATATAAAAAACGTTGTTACATACACGAGCGAATCGAACAAGTTGAGATATTTAAACACCATAAGATGATGACAAGGGAACGTCACCATCTAAAATGGATAATTAACAATAGGAAATGAAAATTCACCCCGTTTTTATCGTAAATTTTGGTATTAAGCTCCCCGTTAAAGATATAGATATAAGTCTGTTTTTACGAGATTGCATAAAATCAATCTGGCAAGGTTTTAATGTAGAAGGTTCACAGTTGTGAAGTGAAGGGTACGTAAACGCGTTTTCTTGTCTAAAAGGATTAACTGATCTTGATGAGATAAAAAAAATTGAGAAAAAATATTGTATTTTTATTTAATCTATAGTGTATATGTATGATGGGGTGAAAACACGTTTTGCATCGAAAACTATTTATTTTGCCTGAAAAAGAAAAAAAAATAGGCATAAACAGAACTACAAAAAAGGGGCAGAGAAAGGACAGAGGGGAGCACAGAAAATGAGGAGTAGAGCAAAGAAAGGATAGAAGGGCATATAAAGAGCAGAGTGGAGCATAGAAAGAGCAGAGGGGAGCATCAATTGGAAGAGGGGACCACAGAGACAAGACAAAGGAACATAGAAAAGACAGAGGGGAACATAGAAAGGACAGCGGAGGGATAGAAAGGCCTGAGTGGAGCATAGAAAGGACAGAAGGGAGCATAGAAATCACAGAGGGGAGCATAGAAAGGACAAAGTAGAACATAGAAAGGTCAGAGGAGTATATAAAAAGGTAGAGGGGAGCACAGAAAGGATAGAGAGAACCACAAAAAGGGAATTATAGGGGAGCTTAGAAAAGGTAGAGAAGAGCATATATAAAGTAGAGGGGAGCACATAAAGGGTAGTAGAGCACATAAAAGGTAAAGGGAAGCATAGAAAGGGCAAATGGAAGCACATTAAGTGCAGAGGGGGTATAGAAAGGGCAAAGGGGGTCACAGAAAGGGCTGAGGGGATAATAGAAAGGGTAGAGGGGAGCATAGAAAGGACATTGGATGCTTATAAAGGATAGAGTGAAGCACAGAAAGGGCAGATAGTACACTGAAAGGGTAGAAAGGAGCACAGAAGGTCAGAAGGTGCACAGAAAGTGTAGAAGGAGAGACAGAAAGGGCAAGAGAGCATACAAGGGGTAGAGGGGAACAAAGAACGGGTAGAGGAGAGCTGCGTCTCTCTTTTTTGAGCTAGATAAGTCATTGAAGAAATGATTGAAATACATTTAACATAAAATTGATACCATTTAGAAAAGGGCAGAAATGAAACTATAAATGGGACACTAGTTATAGAATTAAAGACTTTTCGTTTTTTGATTCTGACTTTATCATGGTAGAATATCAGGTGAGCCCGAAGGGCGAGCCTGATATTTTACACTGATAAAGTCACTATGAAAAAAAAAAGTACATTATTCTTTTTATCGGTAATTATGAAAAAATGGAAATCACTATAACAATAGAGAAAATAACAAACGAACTACTTTATCGTGTCGAATCACGGTGAATCACCAACACATGACGTTACAGGCTGCACTACGTCATTTGAAATTTTGTCACAGTGCAGTAAACAAAGCTTTCTCTTGCACAAAGTATTGAAAAATAATTTCTGCATTTGTTTCATTAAATCTACTTTGAACATGCCTTAAACAATGCAGAATATAATGGTAACATACTGGTAAGTCAAATTTCTTTATTGTTCTCGTAGCATAGTTTGATACGATATGAATCGGCAGATTTGTCATGGTTCAAGTAAAATCGTTTACTTACTTACTTGTTATAGGATGGATAATTTGCTCAAAATTACATTTATCTTGTCGTTAAATGCCCAGAGTCATCCTGAAAACGATCACATTTTGTTTTAGGAAATCATTGTGTAAGCAGACACTTAAGTTTCGTTTAGGTGTGGTCAACGAGTCTGTAGGCTGACTAAATTATCTAGCTTATTTTCTTGTCGACCTCATAAATATTTCAAACATCTTAACTGATGTTACTCAAATTTGGTCTTTTTACTTTCGCTTTTCGTGATTTTTTCAAAGTCATGTACATGATGTAATTTATTTTTCAACCGGACTAGAAATAAGAATCATTGAATGCCCTGTGGTAACCTGTAATTTCAGAGGCGGATTAAGAAGGGAGAGTGCTTTCGACAATGTTAAAAGGTGAATTATCAACAAGAATAGGCCAGACTGTTCGATGAGTGATTGATGCTTGCTTAACTTAAGTGCCATACTTTTCAATCATCTTCAGGACGCCCCACTTTTGCAATGTTTTACTAGGGTGTTGATAAACGGCGGAAACGGAATACGGAATGGATACGGAAACGGAAAGAAATATTTGTGTGAACGGAATTTGAAAAAAAAAAATGGCGAGCACTACGAAAATCAATAGAGACTGAAATAACAAAAATCGCACAAAAATAGGATAGGGAATATCAAGGAAAATAGCAAACAGTTTTGGAAATACATACCAGCTAAAAAATAGTATGAAAAACGAAAACAAAAGATTAAATCCGTTTTTTAAGGGCATATCTCCTATAAGAAGTCATCGCACAGTTTTGGCGTGAGAAGACATTAAATACTCAACATTGTAAAAATTTCTTCCTCAACAGTCTTTGCATAATTGGGTGGACAGTTGTCTCGTTGGCATTCTTACCACGTCTCCTTATTTGTTATTCTCTATTTGGGTCAGGTCAGCGAAAGAAAGCTCTTAAAGTATGCCACCACAAACGACTAAGGCAAGTATACCAGCAAAAAACCACCGTGACAGAGCAGAAGCAATGAATGAACAATTTACTATAAATAAATTAATAAATAAATAAATGAATAATCTTTATTTCAAGAGGATAATCTCATTAGTTAAAACTAATCTTTCTGAGAGTCACCTCAGTGTATCTAATAATATGTCATCAGCATCAAAATGTTTCAATAAAGAAACTATTATATCCAAAATTGAAAGACATAGAAATACCTTAAGAAGGTGAGAGAAAAAAAATATGACATGAACTCAATTTTCCCTATTGTTAATTTTCATATTTCGGACGATGATGTTCCTTTGGCACCGTAGGTGATTAACAATCCCTATGTCCGTGTTTGTAGTGACGTTTTGGATTTCAATGAGCGTAATCTATGTATTACTGGTAAATTATTAAGTCAAAGATTTCGTTACCACAAATTACTTAAAACCTTTACTAAGTTCTTCCATAGATAAAAAGATTTGGTTTGCAAGTTTGGTGGTACCAGCTGTAGACAACTTATTTCAAACAAAATACATGTAGCACATCCTAATTTTTACAGGAAAATTGTTTACCGAGCCCGGAAATTCAGATACGATCCGGGTAAACTTATCAATCGTTTGAATAAACTTATTCTGAAAGGTTACCAATTCAACACTCTAATTAGACCTTTGAATATTGTTTTTATTGGTATAATTATTGATTTTGTTATCAGTGCATTTAAACCATATTCACGGTACTACAATCTGTCGATACCTATAGTTTGGCATTGCACAAGATCATGTTTTATTTGACTGTTAATGACGTCTTTACACTTACACTCAATACATGTGTACTGATTGATATTTTAGTCTTAGATAAATGATTTTTTTGTTATTTGCTCTGAACTAGCTGTCAGTAACTGCGAGTACTCTCATATCTTTACTTAGTGTTTGTTTTTGTTGTGGAATGTTAAGATACGCTGCCACGTTCGGTCTGTGTTTTCGTTTGATGTTTTCTGCTTTGTATCGATCTGAGGGGTCGGCGCCAGCAAACTAGTTTAACTCCACCACATTCTGTATGTGCCTGTCCCTAGTTAGGAGTCTGTAGTTCAGTGGTTATCGTTGGTTCGTGTCTTTCATATTTGTTTTTCACAAATGGTTTTGTTATAAATTAGGCCTTTTATTTTCTCAATTGAATTGTTTCATATTTTCTCATGTCGGCGCCTATTATAGCCGACAATACGGCATGGGTTTATCTCATGGTTGAAGACCGTACGGTTGCCTAAAATTGCTTCCATCTACTTCATTTGAATTTTGGTAGATAGTTGTCTCATTGGCAATTATACCACATCTCCTTTTTTTTTATATCAAGACATCAAAAGCATGTAGGCCAGACGAAATAAGCCGTAGAATACTAAAAAAAATCAAATGAATAAGTACCTATCATTAATACCTGATGAATGGAAAACAGCAGACATATGTCCACTTTTCAAGAAGGCTGACTTTTCGATACCGTCAAGCTACTGCTAAGTATCCTTAACTTGCATTCTCTGCAAGATGCTCGAACATATAGTATGCTCCAACACAATGAGTCACCTAGATAATTATACAAAAATAATATTATCAATGAAAAACAACATACTTTTCGTAAATATCACAGTCTCGAAACACAACTATGAACTCTCATTAATGATTGTTCGATAAAGGAACCAAACAGATATATTTATATTAAGTTTTGAAAAAGCCTTCGAGACAACCCAACATGAACAACCTAAATCGAAATAAACATTTAAGGGACATTATAGGTAAAACACTTTGTTGGATTGAACCATTCCGCAAGTTAAGAGTCATGGTAAATTGAAGCTAAATTGCAAATTCAGTAGAAACAACCAAACGATCAGATGCGTATCTTTTTCGTCATCTTCGTGATTATTCAGTTATCTTGACGAAACACTGCTTTAAAATCTTCTTCTATAAAGAAGAGTAATTTTCAAATTTAGTTATCCGTTTAGTATGAATGAATATAAATACATATCTATGTTAATATTTTCAATTATAGTAATGCTTAAGACATCATACTGAATGAGTGACAATATTTTCAATTGTATTATTATAGAATAACGTTCACGGCTACTGTACTGTTTTTTTCCGCCAGATTTTTTCCGCACCTATTCGTATTTATTGACCTTAAATTCTATGAAAGCAATCGTTGGTTGATGTGGTTCATAAATGTTTCTCGTTTCTCGTTTTTTATATAGATTAGACCGTTGGTTTTCCTGTCTGAATTGTTTTACAATAGTCATTTGGGGGCCCTTTATAGCTTGCTGTTCGGTGTGAGCCAAAGCTCCGAGTTAAAGACCGTACTTTGACCTATAATTGTTTACTTTTTACACATTGTGACTTGGATGGAGAGTTGTCTCATTGGCACTCATACCACATCTTTTTATTTATATATATGGTATTCATGTCAATACTGTATGCTTTCAAATCTTTTTTCCTTAATCTATTTGTCTGTTTTTCATGTAAACATGTGATAAACTATATACAACATGCCCATGAAAATAAATAACCAAAAAAAAGATATAAATTATTTCTGTTTCCGTTTTTTGTTTCCGTTCCGTATTCCGTTCCGTATTCCGTTTCCGCCTTTAAGCAACACCCGTTTTACTTCCAGTCGGATGGACGAAATCCCATTTTATCAAGTATTTTACGTGAAACTTTACATTTTTTTTTCTAATTATAGTCTATGACTTCTTTTCTCCTTTCCTGAATGTCATATTTATTGGAAAATAAAAAAAAAGTCTTGAGATTTCTAAGATTTAGCGTTGTAATGCTCAACGTCTGAAGCCTATATGGCATCAAAACTCCAACTTGAGTACTTGGCTACTGCAACAGTTAGACCATACGGCCATGCTTTGTAATTTTGTTTTCATGGGTTGTTGTCTCATTAACAAACATCCGTCAAACTTATAGCTTTAAGTAGTGTGTAGGACGTTAAACCTCTAACTAACAAATTGATCAGTATTCCCACCTGTTACCCAATCTCTTAATTTCTTAAAAATCAAACTGTTACCATTAAAACGTTTAAACGCGCTGCAATTGTTTGCACCTGTCCTAAGTCAGGAATCTGGTGTTCAGTAGTTGTCGTTTGTTGATGTGGTTCATAAGTGTTTCTCGTTTCTCGTTTTTTATATAGATTAGATCGTTGGTTTTTCCGTTTGAATGGTTTTACACTAGTAATTTTTGGGGCCCTTTATAGCTTACTGTTCGTTGTGAGCCAAGGCTCCGTGTTGAAGACCGTACTTTGACCTATAATGGTTTAGTTTTATAAATTTTGATTGGATGGAGAGTTGTCTAATTTGCACTCATACCACATCTTCTTATATATATATTCTATGAAAATTAAAGAGACCAAAAATAAGACGTAGAAGGCAATTAGATTAAAAGCTTTTGGTAAATATAGTTTAATGTATAAGTAGTTCGTTAATAAATTAACAGATGTTTATTCAGAACGACATAAATATACAAAAATAACAATATATAGATAAATAAGCAAAACGTTGCATTAAGAAATGTAACTCATATTCATTGTTATTCATTAAATGGAAAGGACCAGTCTAAAATATATAATAAACTGGATCTGTTCCATCAGAATATAATCAATATAATCAAAGTGTGTAGTTGACAAATAATATCACGCTAATCACTCATCGATTTCTATCCGAAATATTTCTGTTACTATATAAATTTTACATGTAATTATTGACATACAGATAACAAAAATGCATTAGAAACACTGATCTTATCATGCACATGATGTATATGGTACAAAGATCTAAGTCTTTTGTTGTAACATCACCAGATCATCTACATATATTCTGGTCCTAAACAAAATATAAATATAACCTACATGAAGTGTGATGAACTAATTGCTTACATCCACTTCATTTGAACTTTGTTGGATAGTGTCTAATTGGCAATTATACCACATTTCCTTATTTCTATATAAATGATATCTGGATAGAATTTGTAAACAATAAGTGTTGTGTTCACACGACATAATTTTGGACCTCTAGTAAAATAGAATATATATCATTCATGCACAATCATTCTGACGTATTTGAAAATCAACGTTGTCTCAGATTCAAACTAAAGATAAACTGTGCAAATTTTAAAGACTGATATGTATAAGTAACTAACCTGATTTATATTGAATAAGTGTCCAGATTAGATAACCATATAAATATGTTAAATATGGATTATGTATGTATATCTAACATAGCTCGTCGCTGAAAAGGGTATTCAAAAAGTGTGATGAAACTCAACTTTGAACTCAACGAACGTGACCAATACAAAAACAGGTAGCTTGACACATGACTGAATGTTAAATATTACGGTTCTCCTATTTTTTTTTAATCCAACTCACGTTTATTCAATAAGTATCAAACAATAAATGGGGTTGGTGTTATATACCAATTAAATTTGTTGTTTTGAGAAAGGAAGCGTGAGACCTGAATACGGTATATAGTATAATTTTCATATTATACTTCTTTATAATTAATGTCAAATGATAAATAAATTCAGAAAATCATTTATTAAAGAAATTCGGAATAAGTATTAACATTCTTCAAGTCTGTTCATCTTCCGATTTTAATCTTAAACGAAAATGTATTTCAGCTTGAAAGATATTTATATTTTTAAAAGTATAAAGCTGATATTATACAAACAATTTAAAAATTTATTGAAGGAATACTTGATGTTAAAACAATAAAAAAAATTGCAATTATGATCTTAAGTGATCTATCATTCATTCATAGTTTTTCACACTGGAAAGAATAATAGATATGTAAAAGGACATTGTTTTTATCAGTTGTACCATTGATTTTATTTTTGAAAAATCAGAACATACTAAATGTATATTCCTATATATGTACAGTTATGAATACTCATAATTCTGTCTATACTGTTTATTTATATCTTGGCATTCCATACGGTCATACGTCTCTCCAACTGTTATTGACGTCTTTACATTAGATCCTTTTGACATGCACTGGCTGATACTTAAGTCTTTGAGATCTTTATTATTCATTAGTTGTAATAGACTTTAAACTAGATTTCAGCAACTGCGAGTACTCTTGTATCGATGATTTGTGTCTATTGTTTTTCATGTTCGTTGTCTTTTTGTGCTTCGTAACGAGACTTTTGTTCAAAATTAGTTTCAGTGGTTAGGTAGCTCATTCCAGATTTGGGCAGTATTTAAACGAAACAGTTTGAAGATTATCTATTGACTGTATAGCATGTTTAGTGCAAAACAATTTAATTTTAATGTCATAGGTCTATTTGTACTGTCATATATGTTTGGTAAATCCCGATAAGCAAAACAAAATATATGTGTTTACGGTCCCGTAAATACAAAATAAAAGATTTTAATTAACGCTTTGCACGGAACAGTTTGTTTATATCGTTGTACTAGGTAAAGGCAGAATGATGGAGCGTTTACGAACATGTGTAACCCGCCACGTTTTGCATGTGCCTATCCCCAAGTCAGTTTGCGGTCTTCCTTTCTATCCACATTCGAAAACATATATATCCACTAAATGTCTTATTTCTTTCATCATGATAATTTACACTGGGTTTATCTTTTTTTATTATTTCATTATCGCAAAACTCCTAAATGTGGGATATCTTCTTACGCATGTGATTAGCCTTTCATTCAAATTTTTGCTCCGTACATCTTTCGGAAAGCACAAATGTAGTCTAAAAAACCTATATGAGTTACATGTACTAATATCTCGAAATTAGAAAAAAAGGTATTTCCGTTTTGAATTGTCCTAAAAGATCGGTATATTTGTTATCTTACTTTTTGATTGTTTTTTTATTGAAAATGTCGATACTAAAAAAGACAATAACAAATGCGTTTTAAAAAGATGATTTGGTGTTGCTCAACTCCAGTGCATAATTGATAGTAGTCGTTGATCTTATCATGATTGTGTTGTAGGTCGTTATTATGATGATTTTTTTATCGCCTGCTTGTGTATTTTCTAAAACCGTTATGTTTATTTTGTTGTAAGAATAGATTTGAGAACTACGTTTTTAAGTCAACGTCATACAAAGGTTTCATATATAACACGCTATATTTAAAAACACCACATTCTTCAACCGAAAGAAGTTGGAAAAACCTTACAAAATCCGGAAGTATATGTATGCATTTACATTTTTTCGTTTATCTCTGTACTTTGACAATTTGTTCAAGGTAAGGTCACCATTTCAATATGAGTAGTTAAGATGTTATATCACTCAATTTTAGTACAGATGTCATGAAATGAAGATACGTTATCCTTTAAGGACAAATATATATTGACGGAATGATAATATAAAATTCAGTGTTATTTAGGACATAAAAAGAAATGAAACTCTCCATTTATCTCCAATTAAACGCAAATTGGTTACGGAAATTCACACTTTGTAAGGCTATAAATGTGATTAGCTTGATACTTGAATAGTACTTTAAACGTGATAGATGACAACAGTGTCAAAGCCGGAGCATTGCAAACTGCAAAAAGAAAAGGAAGAAAATTTCAATAAAGCATAC